CTCAGACGCTTCCTAATTTCTCACCAACATTATTTCATCTGAGACACGGTATCTTCATTAGAGATGTTAACTTTACTTTCAGGTACCTGCCTAAATTGGGAGGCTCTGCTCCCCCTGCAGTCAGACATAGAAAGAGGCTGCCCAGCAGATCAATCCAAAAAGCTCCACACATTCTGAAGGAAGCTTCCATCCAACTGGAAGACTTTCATTTTCTATTGAGTTTAAAAGGACAGTAGGGAAGCTCCCTTTAACTAAGGCAGCTGCACTCTTTGCCTGCAGTGTGCATGTACTTCAGTTCCAGCCCACAACAAGGAACGATGGACGACACCCTGGAATGATCTCAGTGTGGTCTCAGGGGAGTAAGCACAGGAAGGGCTGGGAGAGTCAAGGTGCTACAGTAGTTTGGTTGTACAGGAGACGGACAGTGACCTAAATTGACCCTGAGAAATTTGGGATGCAGAGTTGTGAAGTTTATGCAGCAGATTTAAATCGCTTTGGGTCCGTGCAACAGTTTTACCTCATGTTCTTGGGAGGCCCCAGATGCTCGATACACCAATACCTCTGTAACTTTAATTTCGCCTTGAAGGGTTTCAGGCATGTGTTTTAAATTCATTGTATTTACCCTTCTACACTACATCCATACAAACACATGCAGCATTAACTATTTCAAGGTCCCCACAGAGAGCTCTTAGCACAGACAGAACATGGGCCAGCACATGACTGAAGCCACATGCACCATCTGCTCAAACACTTTAATGTAATTTACCAGGCAAGAGCTGAGCAGGAAAAAAAAAAGCTAGATAAAAGAGATTAGATTTCCCCTAGTCCAAAATACCTCCTGCTGCTTGATATATGAACCTAATTCACCCATAACTAATATTTCATTTAAGAACATATTAAAAAAAATTTTTTTTAAAGTCCTGCGCCTGCAAGGTAACATTGACATAATTCTTCTGTTAACCTGCTGCCCATTGAGAACTGTCCAGACTGATAATCCTATAGCCAAAACCAAAAAGGAGTGTACTACTTAAGAACTTGAAAGTTGTTACTTCCACTGAAATTGCAATTTTGATGAACTTCAATAAATAAAGAGTAAAAAGAATTATTTATTCACTGCAGCATTGAAGCCAAACAAGATCTACACGTTAAGACTTGTATTTGGCTGAAGGTGGCAGCCCTGGGCCTAGTACTATTTGAATTTTGGGAAGAAGTCCTGCAACTGATCTGTAAAAGGGATGGATTTCAAATGGTAAAGACTTATACTTGAAGAATCAGGTTTCATAGAGAACAATCCTCCAGCTTTTAAAACAAAAGCAATGATGTGAAGGACTCATGACAAACTCCTTTTGTCTTGTTCAACAGTATTAATAAAGATGTTTAGACAGGGTTACCAATTTTTCCTCTATTAGAAATACTCACAAAATTAACAAGAAACTAGGACAACTACCTTAAATTCAGCTGGCATTTCCTCTTCCAAATCTCTACACCATTCACTACTCCTTTTAAGCTGACAATAAAAAATAAAATTTAAAAAACCCCATAAATGAATAAAATCAGTTTATTAAGACTGTAAATATCACTGTTAATTTCTGATGTGAAAGGTAGAAAAACCTGCATACAGCAGGAAAGTTCTACCAGTTCCTCTCACTGATACCCTAAATACAGCAGCCTTCATGATTCATAATATTAGGAAATGAGACCTTAACCTGAGCTGCCCCCACCCCGAGCTGAGTGTCTGGCTGTGTGCCAGGATGCTTCAACATCCTCTAGCAATTAAAAGCCATCATCTGCAGCAGACATCATCCCAAAACCTTCCCTTTTTTTCAACTCACAGCTCATTAAAGGTCAAAATTAATATTAAAAATTATAAGAAAAGGAAAAAAAGAAGTCTGGAGAAGATGCAGGCAGAAGCGATCATGACTCAACATATAGATAGGCTCCCACATAGAGAGGGACTGTCTGACCAGCACTCTTTGGCTTGGAAAGAAGTCAGTGACACGACCTACAATTGAAATCTAACAAATATTGAGTGGCTTAAACAAGAAAAAAGAGAGAGGGAGACTCACTAACTCTTCTCACATGACAGAAGAGCTCTAACTGTATCTCTAAGTTGCTGGTCAGAACAAGAAAGAAGTGATTCCTCATGCAAGTTAGGCAAATTAAGACATTGCAGAGAGGCAACATTTACTGGGACTCAAACATTTCAACAAATGAATGGAAGAAAATTCCACAATGACTATTGCAAGCAAAGATTCCACTTCCAGCTCAGGAAAGATGCAGCTGCAGGAGTGTATCAGGGAAGGGTCAGCATAACCATGCCTGTTCTACTCATCTGTAGGCACTGGCTTGGGAAGTCATCGTCATACAGCAATGCCTTGGACTTGAGGTTGGATCTGGTAGGCCACCCTTACATTATTTTATTGCATACCCCAGGAGTTAAAAACATCATGAGAAGTCTTACCAAAAAAATTACAGGATTCTCTTCTTTTTGCTGTTTGTTTGTGGGTTTGGATTTGTTTTGGGGTGGGGAGGGAGAGTGTTTGGGTTTGGTTTTATTTTTAAATTATTTGGCTTATAGTTTCATGGTTTTTATGTAAACTTCAGTTCAGTTTACTTGCTTCCATCCTCAGCTAACATATTCTGCAACACTGAGCACTGAGAACATTGCCATTGATTTCCATCAGCAAAGGATCACACTCTAACTGCTTCCAATTTCACAGTTACTAAGCAACACTAAGTGATCACAGCCTCTGAGCAAGCAATGTCCTGTATGCAAAGGTTTGAATTCTAGAACTCCATAAAGACTTGGAACTTGGGCACCTACCAATGAACACCAGCTCTGCAAGTCTTAGATAACAAACTCTTGAAGTACAGAATTACATACCTTTGGTGCTGCTAATTGAAATTAGCTTTACTGAACCACAAAATTTCCTTGTACACTCATCATGGACCTAAAACTGGGAGTACTTTTAATATACTGCAAAGTTTTTTTGTATTTTGCCCAGGATTTACCAGAACAAAACCCCTTTTATTTATATTGAAATTCATACACAGCCCTCCTATTAAAGTTACATCTTCAGGGATAAAGATGAAAAAGAAAGCACACAAAACCAGGACATTAAACACCATCAGCCTTAGGGGAATAAACAACATCATCCCTTACAATTCAGTGCATCTTTGGAGTACTGAACATTTTTTTAATTATTCAGAAAAACACTGTAAAAGGATTTCTGTTTTTCCTTTAAAATAGTATCACTGGTAAAAATACTATAACTATTAGAAAATAGTAAATAACACCATGCTCTTAATTTTTTTTGTTGTAGGAGATTTTCCTGAATACAAACAACTCTTAAAAATAATCAATAGCTAAATTTGCTTTAATGAAGATGGTACTTGCAGCCTTTACTAAATTATTCTTACTCATCTACACACCAAGACAACAGAAACCTTGTTTGCTGCTAACATGGAAAATCTGAATGGTCCAGAAGACTGTATCCATTACCCAGTGAATGACTAAGAATGAGACTGGCTGTTCTCCCTTGGAAAATCCTGATCTGGTCTAGCATTTAAAAAATGTGAAATTGCAAGGGTGAGAAAGTGCTATAGAAGCCCACGCACAAGAATGCTGCAAAATAAATTAAGTGCTGCAGAAACCTCTGGTGTTTCATGTACATCCATTCACACACTCACACAAATGTATACAGTAATTGTTTAGGGACACAGTTTAGCTCTTTTCACACCCATTAGAGGATCCTAATCATAAGAGTTCAGCAACATAAAAGCTTTTGAAGCAGAAAGCCTGGACGTTGGTGTGTTACATCTAATGGAAACAATATTACACAGAAGTCTTTCACTTCCGAGACTGATTAGAATCTGTATTGTATTTACCACAGTATGAAGATAATAACCTGAGAGAACATTAGCATAAATCATTAATTCATTGTGGGGAAACTCTGGAAGAGGATATGTTTCTAAAAGGAAAATTATGACATTAAAATGCAAGCAAACTTTGAGGAAAACAAGCTGTACCAAGTAAATGGTGCCAAAATTAAGCAATTCATAGTTCCCATACTTGGTCTTCAATAGGAAGAATTTAGAGCACATGAAAATACAACAACAGCTTAGCAAACCAATGGGAAAAAAATCAACTGAGTGTTACGTTGGCTATCTGAAAGCTTGCTGGAATTACACAGATCCTATTCCAAAAGGCTCATGTACCTAATAAATAGTAGTTGAAGACACTGAACAACACTAAGCACATATAAACTGTCCTGTGCTTCTCAAGAATTGTCTATCCCCAGTAAACAAAAGAGCAAGCATGCAAAACTCTCCATATAAAAAGTAATTAGAAAAATTAATCAATTTCTCCTCTCCTTCTTTAATAATTATGTATCAGTTTTAGAAAGCAAAATGGTCAGGTGACATTGCTCTGTAATAATTTCAATTAAAATATATGATGTTGCTTTTAATGCAATTTACAACCTCATAAGTAACCAACCTGAGGAGAAAAGCAATAAAACAAAAGAAAAAAGCTACCCACCATTTACCCAGCGACCAAACAGCAATATGAAAGATATCACATTCCTCTTTCTATGCTTTAGATACAGAGGAGCATTTTGATATTCCAAATATTTAGGGATGTTATTTGCTATTGATACTTTTAAATCATTACTAAGAACGCACTTGACATCTCTTGGGAAAATAAGAAATGCTGCACATCCGAACTTGCAGGTTCTCTTTTAAAGCTGACTTCCCTCTGTCTCCTTACTGCACACAATAAAAGGCAAGCCTTCTGTTGGCAGGCTTCAGGTCACTTGCTCAGTTGATACCCCCAAATCACAGCATGCAGGGCTGCATTCCACCTGAGGAGTATTTGTGGCGGCTGCCAGGCAGAGATGCCTGTGCTCACCAGGGTAGAAGGGGCATTCCAGGCTGTGAAGCTGATTGCACTGGAAGGGCTTGCTAACAGAGATGTCAATGAAGTAAAGGAGTTTCAGTACCTGAGTTAACAAGCTGCTGCTCCATGACCCCACATCCCAGGACCTCCATCCATTCTCCTTGGAAGTTGATCTCCATCTCAAAGGAAGGGTGAGTAAATGGGAAGTAGCAATCTACCCATCTGACTTGCAGTCCTGTAGCAGTGTTTAAAAAATAAATACATATGAAAGGGTGTATGCTTAAAAGGCCATCCCTCCAATCATCTGTAAAATTTGTCCTTCAACTAATGACATGAATTACAGCAATCCAGAGAAAATAAATAGCAAACAAACTAATTTACAACACTTGTGTGAGGTGATAAATCTTAAAACCTGTGGAAAAAAATGACCATGTCTTTTCTAATATGAAAAATGCTTTGTGCAATTCAAGCACCCTTTGAAACCAAATCAATCATTTGTCAAACTCTGGTAACCACCTGGCATCGAACAAAAATGAGCCAAGATAATGGAAAAGTCAGTAATTTTGTTATTCTTTGCACCAGGAAATGACAAACTGCTTCTCACAGGAAAAACTAGCTAAGTCTTTAATTTTTACTTAGTATTTTATGGATTGTCTAGACAAGTAATTTTTTTTCATCAAAACTTAATTAAAATACAGAGCTATTCTCTCTGTATATGTTTAAAAGTGAAAGTTAAAAATGGATATTAATATACACAAATAGAAATATATTTTCACAGAGTTGTACATTATTAAGGTATGCAACACATGCACAGAGCATTCTAGACCTGGTAGCTAAGTGTAGGGGAAAAGCCCCACTTGGCAATTCCCCACCATCCTCCCCAGCTCAGCACTTCTGCAGATACCACTGTGCAGAGCAAGCAAAGTCCCAGCACCTCAGAGCAGTGCAGCCAAAAGAGGACAAGGTCTTCCTTCCCAAGGTCTTCAGTGCTGCCTAAAGCAGACTTGTTGTCAAAGTGCTCATTATATTTGATGAGTTTTAGTTCTTCTAATGATTTACAGATGCTTTGCTTCTAATTTTTTGCTAACTAATTTTTTTTTCTAACCATTAGTTGTCAGGAAAGAAGTCTCAGAAACGTGAACCATAAAAACTTGATAGAGAACTGAAATACAAATTCTGTAAGCTAAGCTATTGCCTTAACCCCAAACATATCTTCTCTTCAATTAAGCCAAATGCTAATCAGAGTCAGGATCATTAAGAACCAGGCAGGTCCAGCTTCAAAAATAAAGAGCTGAACCTTATTTTTGAAAGGCAAAGGTAGTGTGAGTGACAGCAACTGTTAAAATTCCTGGTTTGATCTTCAGATTTTTTTTTGAGATGTTTCATATGAGGAATGTAAAACATGAAATTTTATGATTCATACTAAAAGTTTTTAAAATAAAAATATTTAAAGTAGCCTCAAAAACTAGATCTTCATTAATTACTTCTGAAAACATGAAAGTAGCTACAGAAACTGAAACAATAAATTACAACAAAGATGTATATACATGGCCAAAACATAAAATACTTCCTAACAGTCACAGGAAACTTTTCTAGATGCCATGAAAAACAAAATGGCAAGGCAAGTTTCAAAGCAAACAAACTGGCACTTCTAGATTTTCTCTGATTTCTTAAAAACCAGTCTCAGGAAAGAATATGAGTAATGGAAAATCTTTTTGATAATTGTATAGATAGAACTCAGAAAACCAGAAGTATTTACAATAGTTTCATTCACAATTGTAGGGTGACAGCAATCACTTTATTGTTCCTTTTTACCTGCATGACAATTAAAAAAATACATAGATGAAAAGAGTCACACATATACAATAATATAGTGTGCAGAAAACTTTTTTTTAATTTCCTGATCTTGGCATATTTAATCCTTGGGCTGTGCACATATAAAATATTCTCATTTAGCTTGCAAAATTTGCAAATGCAGCAACTACTTTAAATATTCAACTAGTTTGCATTCAGTAACAACATTTAGATAATTGTTTCTTATTAATCCTCTGATTACTTAAAAAATGAAGCTCTGTGAAAAAAAGGATTTCTAAGCTGTTTGTTCTTAATTAAAATAAATTTTAAAAGGTAAAAAAAGAATTTAAAGCTCTTTTTATTTTTGAATTTTAATGCATATTAGTACTTAAGAGGATTCTGGTTTAAATGCAAATAAGCAAAGAAACAACATTCTGAATAAATCAAAACAAATTCACAATGAAGAGACAATTCTCACCTTCATTCTGTTCTCTAAATTAATACTTAATCCCACATACCACAATTTTATTCATACAGTATCCAGGCCATTGGGAATACCTCTGTAGTTTATATTCAAGTGTTCTTTCAGACTTTTGGCTCTAGAAGACTTTACTGAAAAGCAGAGGGTGCTCAGCCTTTGGCAACATTAACTGCATTTCTATAGAGTGTCACAGAACAAATGGGTACATTTATTATTTAGATACAAAATATTGTCTTGGTACTCAATTTATTCCCAAGGAGTAAAGGGCATTGCTTACACTCAGTAAATTAAACCACTAAGGACTCCAAAGGATTATGATGATTAGGCTTCCTGTAGTACTATGTAATTTTTCTAATTTGGCCTAGTTTATTTCTTCACATACAGACTATGAAATACTGGCAAAATTGATCTTTTCAAGAAATTTTAGGAGGCCAAGAGACATATCTCTCTTAAAACAAGCACTTACAAGAGCACACTGCTGAATCTAATCAAGGCCTGACCACTAGACACAAACTTTTCCTGTTCAAAGAAATTATTTGTGTTATCAGACATAAACACACCTGCTCATTTCAGAGCCTCACAGTGCTCATGAGAGTCCTTCCAGTGGGTAGAGGTCCATTCATAACTGTGCTGGGCTGAACATCAGGATCCCAGCAAAGCTGCTCTACCACTGCCCTCCTCAACTGGACCAAGGGTAGAAAATTTAATGAAAGGCTCATGGGTCAAGATGAGGGCAAGAAGAGATAACCCAGCAATTACAGTCATGGGCAAAACAGACTTGACTTGGGGAAAGTAGTTCCATTTATTACTTATAAAATCAGAGCAGGATAATGGGAAATAGAAACTAAACCTTGAAAACAACTTCCCCATCCCTCCCTTCTTCCAGGCTCAACTCCACTCCCAAAATCCCTACCTCTTCCTCACCAGCAGTGAGGATGGGGAATGGGGACTGTGATCAGCTCATCCCTCATTTTCTCTGCTACTTTTCCCCTGCTCCAGGGTCGTGTCATGCCCACCAAAGACAATCCTTCATTAATTGCACCAGCATGAGACCCTTCCACAGCACACTGTCCTTCAGGAACCTCCTGCTCCAGCATGGGTCTGTCCACAGGGCCACAGGTCCTGCCAGAAGCCTGCTCCAGCACAGGCTTCCAACAGGGTTCCAGCCTTCTTTGGGACTCTACCTGCTCTAGCATGGGGTCCTCCATGGGCTGCAGGTAGACCTCTGTATCTCCACGGACCTCCATGGGCTGGAGGGGCACAGCTGTTTCACCATGGGCTGCAGGGGAATCTCAGCTCAGGCACCTGGAGCACCTCCTCTCCCTCCTTCTCCACTAACCTTGCATCTCAACCAAGGTATCTGAAGGGCTGCTCCTCACACATGTTCTCATGCACCTCCCTGGCTGCAAATTGTGCAGGATTTTTTCCTGTCCCTTTTAAAGTGAGTTATCCCAGAGGTGCTACTACCATCCCTGATGGGCTCAGCTTTGGCCAGCAGTGGGTCCACCCTGGAGCTGGCTGGCACTGGCTCTGTCAGACATGGAGCAAACATCTGGCAGCTCCTCACAGAAGCCACCCCTGCAGCCTCCCTGCTACCAAAGCCTTGCCATGCAAACCCAATACAGTAACTTATATGTCAGATCAGTATGGAAATAATGAATAATTACTGTTATTTCTGAACACTGAATCCAGGTAAAGAATTGGTCATAGCCTGCACTCAAAAGTAATGGTGTTATTAGATATTAAGCTAAACAAGTGCTAGCCTAATTGAGTCTCATAATGAAAAAGGCTTGACCAAAGGCACTGAAAAAGAAAGAAAAGGAAAAAGAACAAACCGAACACATTAAAGCAGCCTATTACTACACTACAGCACAGAAGCAACAAAGCCTGAGACCCAGATGGTCTTCACTGACCAGAAATTCTCTTTGTTGCTGTGAGGATTATTTTTAGAGACAAGGTTATGGAAGAAAAAGGAGAGGGGTGCAAGGAGGGTGCTGGGAAGCACAGAAGGTATTGAACTGTGGCCTCTTGAGGTGTGTGTCAATTTGTAAGTACTCTGCACCTCATTGTTTCAGATAATTCATCACACTTGCAGCAGACAGGAGCTGGCTGCCCATATAAACCTCACATTTTTCAGAAGTTATTAGCCAGACCATTATGTCCTTTATATTTTTTTTTTAACTCATTACACCCATAGATCTCCATGCACTCAAAGGAGGTATCAGTACAAGAGAATTAAGAAGGAGAATGAGCAGAACATGTTTGATTTAAAAGATATCCAGTGGCTGTTCAGTCAGAATCAGCAGTGGCAAAGCCAAAGCACAGCATTACTCACTCTCCTGCCTTCCCTTACCAGTGCCTAGGAACTGGGTAGATAAATACAGGATAGCAGTGTATTTTGAGCATTTCATGTAAAGCAACAAATCACAGAATCAGCACACAGTCATTATTTTCTATTTGCTATAGTAAGATTACTTCTGAATCTCCCAGAGTGCAGAGAGCTTTTGGCAGGCTACAGAGGGGTTAGAGAAAGAACCATAGCTGAAAAAGACTGGCTAATTTATAAGGAAATTTTGGACAGCCTTGTTTCTAGGTAACTGAAATGAGAACTAACAGACTACCTACACTGGCAGAACTGTATGGGGAGATGGATGTATAACTTAAATTAGTCGATTTTAAGTGTGCATCCTATGGAAGTAGCTGAGGAAAACTAAGAAAGGTGATGTCTAGGTGTAGTATTTGAAATAGCTTCCTGACAGAAAAATGGAAGAAACTGAAAGACAGTTACTTGTAGAATGCAAAACCAGGCATGTCATATCATCAGAAAATGCCATAAGAAGAACTACTTTACATTGTCAAGTTTTTAAGACAACTGATTGGATACTCCAGAACTTGCTTCCTCCTCTAACATCTGTCATTCCTTTGTCTGTTGGCAAAGCCAGAAAGACATAAAAAGACAAAATTTTCTAATAAGGGTAAGTGCAGATTCTATGAAGTCTTCGACCTTCCTCAGGACAACACAGTGATATCTAAACAACTTTGTTTTGTCAACACTGAGTTGTTCAAATAGTGTGGCAGGAACCAGGTAGAGCCCAACTGTCTCATTAAATATTATAAAAACTAACCTAAAACACCACCACAAAAAAAAAAAAAAGGCAAGTCAGTGGTATGACCTTTCTGCAGAGATCCTCAATCTATCATCAACCTGAGCTGGTAAATTCCCAGAGAAGCACTGCAGAAGCACAGCTTCTAAGTCCAGGACTTCAGGTACAAGTGAGTTTATGCAAAACTAACATGTACAGCAGGCTCAGTCTACAATCCAAACAATCTGCCTATAATAAACAGTTGACTGTATGACAATGCAACATTTCGGCCACTGCAGCTGTGGTCATGCTATCCTGCTAGAAAAGATGTGCAAATTCACGACAATATTCTGCTGACAGTTCAGGTTGTAAAGAATACAAATGATGCCAAGGATAAAGGAATTAAATTTTTACTTTTAACAGAACATGGTGCCTTATGAAATATCCACATTTAGGAAAAACATAAAAATTTTCCAAGAGCAACACATTTAAACACATTTTAAATATTAAGTTAAAATTTATAGGAGTCAAGATACAAAAAGTAATCAAGAGTACCATGTGAAGTAAAGAATAAAATGCTAGTTAAAAGATGACAGCTGTCAAAAGACAAATTTATTCATATGTGCCTCAAGACAGTTGCAGTGCACCAATTTAATATACCTTGTGCCTTACAAGAACTTTGAATACTTTGAATTCCTGTATTTCCATGAATGGGGCAGGGGGGAAATACACATATATATACACATACATATGTAAATTTAAATATAAAACCATATTAAATTTAATTCAATAACTATATCTTGTGTTTGTATTCCAGGAAAAACATTGGGTGTATGGAAATAGAAAACTCCAACAGTAAAAAGGTGGCATCTACCTTTAATTTGTACATTTAAAATAATTTATGAATATATTTAAATGTCTTTATAGCTAATCGGTGGACTGTATGAGAACTAGTAATAGCCAACATGCTGAAGCTTAAAGTGCAGTATCTGTCAACAGTTAGAGAAGGATGTCACTGCAGTCTGAGATACCACTAATAACTCTGAGAAACTGCTCACTTTAAACATCCTCAGCGTCTGAGGTTGATCTAAATGTATCATTCTTACTGTTACCCACTTTCATCCCAATTTTGTATGTTTCAAAGGTCACTGTTAAGTAAAATACAGCTACAAGAGGCTTTGAGCTGAGGAACTTCAAAATTTTTGTTCAAGTGGAATAGAACAGTAACTGGTAAAAGTTTTGCATGCTATAAGTCAACTTGAAAAATTCAGAAAAATACTCAAGCAGTCATACCTAGAACTTGGAATCTTTATCAATCCACTCTTGTAACTACTGCTCTAAGCGCAGTAAACATCTTAAAACACCTTAGAAAGTAGGCAAGATACCTCATGCATTCTAACACCATCCAGTATTTCCTCAACAGAAAAACAAATCAGCTCAGAAGAGCAGTCTCCTTGCCAAGAAATAACATTAATGTAGCAATTTTGACTCAGGCCATTTATAAATTCAGTTCCTGAAACTGAAAGCAGGTATTTCTGAGGAGAGAATACTTCATTCATATACACATCCATTACCCTTTCTCATTCCACTGCAGGTACCAAAAAACAATTACTGTTCAGTTTGATGTAGACTTAGCAAACACGGTCTGCCCTCAGCTGGAAGGTTTAATTTATCCACACAAGGGATGCAGCACATGGACACATGCACCCCTTCTCTGCTCCTGATGCAGGATCTGAGTGCTGCCCAGCTGCACCCAAGCTCTCCTGCACCCCAGATGCAATGCTGCACCCATGCTCCATCCCTCCAGGGACACATGAGGCCCACAAGGATGAAGCAGAAGGGGTCCTGCAGAGCTTTGTGCTGGAGGTGCCTCTCCTTGCAGGACCCACCCTGTGCCTTCTGCCAGACCACTGCTTGCAGCTGGGCCTCCACACGTCCCCACCTGCATTTGTGCCCACCACGTTACTCTGACACGCTGCACACCTACACATTTTCACAAAAACCTGCTGAGTCAACAGAGGGTTGTGTGCACCAGTATTCAGGAAAACCCAGAGAGGAACACGTGGCCTCTGGGAAAAACCCATCTGGCTATTTCATATTACCAGCTGCCAACACAACTCCTAAGCCTCCTGTCTATGTTATGCAGCAAAATGTTTCTCCAAAGGCCCAATGACTACAGGCATGAGCAATCTGGGGGAAAAGGTGCAAGAACCCACCGTCACCAAAGATGTGAGTCATGAGCTTCGTGAGCACTTGCTTCAGGTTGAACTCCACCAGCCTCACTGCCTCCATAGTGTGACACTCCTGCTTGTGCGCAGTGCGATGGCCTTGCTCAAACAGCTGTAAACCTTCACCGTCTTTAATGCTGGAGAACAACTAGAACAAAACCACAAAAACACCGTGTTTTGCATCAGTCACCTTCTGAACGAAAATAGAGAATGAAGTTTCATTGATTTAAGTGGAAATCTTACCTGATAAGTCTACACTGTGAAAAACAAACAAAGACTGTGATTTTCTACAAATTCTGTTCACTAAATGCAGAGATGAATCTCTGTAAGAACAAAAGTGTTCAAATAATTAAATCTGGTTTATTTCTATCATCAAATAATATTATTAGCTATAGGAAAATAATAATTTACAAAATAAAGCATGCCTCCTTTTCTGATTCTGTTACTTTGGAAGTTACCATGCAGAACGAAGTACTCTGTACAGTGTATGTAAATTACACCCCAAAAACTACAAAACACAGTGGACTCCATGGCATTTATCAGAACTTCAACTCTTTTAGTACTTGGATGATGTAAAAGAAACACCAAAACAACAAAAAAAACAAAAACAAAAAACAGAAACACAAAACCAAAACAAACCCAACCCAACCAACCCCAAACAAAAAAAAACCCATACCAAAAAAACAAACAAACAAAAAAACCCAAAACAAACTCTGGCAATTTAATGAGACTTAAACTGTTTACAGTTGATTCATCATGGGTACAAGTTTATATTCATTTAAGGACTACCATTTTCCTGTATGTTCCCACACAGCATCATTTTTGTGAACAAGAATTTTGTCTATGGGGCTTGTAAGAATTCATGATCTCAAGAGGGGGTTTTCCAGATAAGTTATGGAGCACAGGGACAGCTGTTTTGGGATGTGTCAGACTTGCTCTTCATTCACACACTGCTCACCACCACATCTGCTGCAAGTTGAAGATTTCTGCTTTCTGCTATCCCCATATGTTTCTGGCCAGGTGATCCTGGCCAGATACACACCAGCAAATCTATATCCTTTCAGAGAGACCAATAAACATTCATTAAACAACATTGTTGGAGGCTCTCTGTCCTGGGAAGACAAGCAGGCAATTTCACAATCTAAAGAGTATTTTTGTTGGAGATCCTTACAGCTGTACAAAACCCCCATATCTGGGGTGAAGCCTTGAGGGAAGGGAGAGCCAGTTGTGAAAGTGTTTCTAGTGCTCTTTCCTACCCCTCCTCCTCTACCTGCCCCTAGTCAGTCAAGCACACACAGAGGGTAAAAAACATGCACTGAGATTTTCTTTCCATCAAGCCTCCCAACATAAATAGCCCTTACTCAGGAGAGATACCACGAATAATCTTAACAACTCATAGAGGCCCACAGAAGTTGTTTTAACCACAGTTTGATGCCTTCAGAACACTAAATGCTCTAAAGAAAAAGTTCAAATGAATCTCTGGTATTCCACAAATGCTAGATACAATTATTAGGACTAGTTTCTAGAACATTTCCTACAGACACAATGAATGAAGAGTCTGAGTTTAGACAGCAGGCAAACTAGCACCACAGTGGATTGAAGAAATAGAAAGAAATGAAATCCAGTAGCATTCAACTTTGTATTGCTAGCCACAAGGAGATTGCTGGCCAACTTAGAAAACATTTATTCTCTTAATCTTCTTAGTGTGCTGCAGAAAATACTAAATTAAAAAGGGAACTAATAAATACCAAATAAAATTATTCTCCACCAGTCTAACAAAAATGCCTTTACTAACCAAAAGGCAGCAGCTTGACAAACAGAGTATCACACTTTTAAATAACAGATTCTTTATTCAAGTGCTCATCTGAAAGATTAAACTCCCTTCTTCTTACTGACATTAATCCTAGCTTGACTGGAACAAGAAGATAATACCCACCCTACAACTAATTTGCTGCCAGCAAGACAGATCGGTCACCCAGCATGTGGTTTGGAAAGCTGGGGGAATTCAGAGAGGTCAGCATTAGCCTAGGGAGGATAATTGTCTTAGGCTCATCTGGTGGCCAGTGGAGAGACACAGGATCCCTCACAGAGGAACACAGAGTGGCCAAATTAGGCTCCTGCTCTGAACAACCCTACACAGGTAGCTATTATTTCTATTGACTGACTCACTCACTCACTAAGCCAGAAACTCTTCAGGCAACAGAGATGTTCCCTCTTTGGACCAGAATACACTGTATTTACCCATTAGAAGGCACATTTGTTATTTTACCTATCAGCAGATTTTAGGACATGAATCTCTCTTCCTCCTTTTTCCCTTCACTCCTCCCTTCAGCTTATGACTGGCTCCTCAGACAACTGAAAACAACAGACAGTCTGGACACTAGCCTTCAAAACACAGCATACTTGTATCAACAAGTACACAGAAATACTTTTCCTTACTGTTGTATTATTTCTGAAATGCTGATAACACAATTACAGTCTAAAGCAAAATTCTATTCCAGTGGTTTATATCAGATGTGGAAACAAAATACATGCAAGAGCCATTAAATACATTGAGTCATAATGCAGCCCTGTCACCTGCCTGAGCCCTAATCCTGCCAAACCAGTCACAGGCACCATCTCCAAGTGCCTCCAAGCCATAGGTTCCTACTCCAAGCCAGGACAAGGGTCCATGCAGCAGCGTACTGAGCCAAGCTGGGAGATGGATCCAGATGGGCAGTAACCCATGAGAAGGGAAGAAACTGAGGGATGTGAAAATGGTGAAGTTCAGCTTAGTAATCAAATATCAGCACACTAGCAGCTCCAAGAGATGAGCTGGCTTGGAACAGGGCTGGGTCACTTTGGGCACAGGTATGACGCCAGTCCAGTTCAGATAGGCTCTGAAAGCACAGCCATAGGCAAGTCCCAGAAACAGGCAAGACAACAGCTCCCCCTTACAGTCAGGCACTGAGAGGCTTTGGTATTCTCCACAGAGGCTCCATCAGCTGCAGATGGGATTATACCAAGAGAAAAAAAAAGAGATACCTTACAGTTGTATTAATATTTATTCCTGACTTCCCATTCACTGACATTGCTATGTCAATACGAGCGGTTTTAAGCCGATACGCCAATTCTACTACTACAACGATTGAACTGTGCTAAGTACATGTCTTGGATTAGAAACACTTCAACATTTCTGTACACATAAAGCCAGGAAAGTCAAAGCTTGAATAAAATGAAGAATCACCTACAATTGCTCCTTTTTGATGTCAATTTTTCTCAAGCACATATCTGAGCAAATGGAGAAAAAAAATACCTAACATCTTGCATAAAGCACTGACACATGCAAGATGACATTTTCACATACATTCATTCCTTCAGTGCAGACTAAAACAGCATGCACTATCTTATTGTATTGAATACAATCAGTCACTACTACAAGCAGGAAAGAAATTTCCTCTAGCCATAAATCGAGTACCTATGTGGCTGTCTAGTGTAAGGACAAGAAGATTTTTCTTTGAGTGAAGGTGTGCAAAACATTGAATATTGGGTCACCATGAAAAAGTCAAAAAAATTAACACTTACCAGGATTTATCAGCATATCTGACTGATGCTGCATTACAAAGGAAAAGGCAGAAAGGAACCTAACCATATGACCTAACCATATGGCATGAAGTTTAGTCAGTTTATCTCATAATAAAAATAAATTAAAATTTGATAACATGTAAGGGCAAGAAGACATGGAGTTTTAACTGGACAAGTACAAATAGAGCTATGGTCCTTCAAAAGCACACTCCAGCATTTCTCAGCCTGGCATGAAGGGCAGAAGTCACATTTGTGATTTAAACAAAGACCTCAACATTTCCTCAATCATTTGACAGACTTTTTAGTCTCATATCCCTTCATTATTCATACACTTAGTATTCAAAATTAAGGGTCTCTTTGCAGGATGGCATCCAGAGTAGGTTTCAGATCAGACACAACTGTAACTATACCCTGTCTTTCCACAATGCAGTTGTGTATTCCTCCTGCCACTCATGCATTCACCAGTGATTAAGATAATGAATAAATCATACTCATGTACTTATACTCTCAGGCAAACCAGCATTTAAAATTATCTCTGTATGAGGATCTGCACGTGACTACACCAAACCTTGCCACACCAAATAAATTTTGTCTCACTGGCCCTAATAAATATCTCTAAAAATTAACCAAGAGCTGCATTCTGAATCCACTCACAAATAGCAAACCCTTCCCACAACATTTTAAATGGGCTGTGGAACTCAAGACTCAACCAATGGATCAGGAATAATGAAGATGATGCCACTAATAGAAGGCTCAAAGAGAAAACCTAATTTTAGTCTCAGTCAGCCTCCAAGGTGTAACTAGGCAGCCAGCTTCAGGTACCAAAGAGATACACAGCCACATGACAGAAGGCTCCTCACTGCATATTAATAAGCATTTTTGAGGGCAGAAAATGACAAAAAATTTACTTCAACCCACAAGCTTGAAGGTGATCAGCCTAATTTCTACATCCTTCCATTCTAGTTCTCCAATTACAGCAAAGAAGGGTAACCTCTGTTGTTTTTTGGGGGTGGAGAGCTATTTTTGGTGTTTTTTTAACTTAATCAAAGTGTTTTTGTAAGAAAAGAAAAAACTATAACGATGTTTCCAGAAAGAAAAACACTGCTACACAAACACCTGATATAATGAGACATCTATCATAAACTTCTCGTTTTGTAGCAATTGTAATTCCTTGACTTTTAAGTACCTTAGACTTCCCAAATACACATGTGGACATTTTCCTCTTTTTTTCTTTTCCTGCACAATTTAAATATTGCATTGAATAGATTTAATGGCCTTGTTCTGAAAAGCTTTGTTGGTTTGTTTGGTTTTTTTTAGCTGGACAACAAAAAGTAAGACAAAGTCTGAAAAAAAATGAAGTCTTTGCAGTAAAAGATGCACCCTCAGTTTTCAAACTTTCTAGACCATGGATCACTATGAAAATCTAACAGACCTTCTGATGCCCTTCGCTGTCAAATTTTTGACTAAAAATAACAAAGAATACAATTTGGATCCTCGGATCAGTGAATATCTATTTATTGTGGCATGATTTATACAACACAGCGTGGAAAATACTGAACCTACAACGTTCACTACTTGGATTAATACTGGAGAAAGTGAAATCAGTTCCACCTAAACTAGACACGCTCTTCGTTGTGACCACTCAGTTCAACTGCAGCTTCAGGAATAAATTCACCTCCGAATAGTCCAGCAAAGTAATGCTGCTGCTCTTTTTTTTACCCAAGTGGATCTATGGGTAAATGGACCGAATGCCTCTGCTCCTGTACTGGCCTTGCTGCTACCTGTGAGAAGGAGGGACAGCTCCCAGGCTCTGTGGGACCCATGCTTTGCTCACAACCCCATCTATAAGTTGTAGAAGGCTAAGAAGGGCTCCTTTCCTTGGTCATTTAAGCCTTTTAAAATATTGGTTCCTTGGTGCCCAGCTAAAAACTGCTATTAGGACTCCCACTGACTCTCACAAGCACTCTCAGACAAACTAAAAGCTCCAAATAACTCCATTAAATAGGTTGATCCCTGGAACTTGATTTAAATTCCTTTACATATGAGGATTAAAAAAAGGGGACTGAAGACAGGAAGAAGCTCTTCTTTGATACAATGCCAGAGAAAAAAAGCACAGTGTCCAAAGCTGCAGTAACATATAGGATTCTGGAGAAGTCAAACCGAAAGACAGGAGTTTTCCAAGGGGAAAACATAGCATGGCACTTGATTTAAAAAAAAAAAACCCACAAAAAATGCAGATGAGTGGTCAAGTTCACATCATCCCATACCACAAGGAAAAGGATGAAAGCAACATCTTTTTCTTTTTAACAATACACCAAGGAATATTGCCAAGGTCCTGAAGTATGGGAAGACGAGGAAAGGAATATGTATTTAGATGAAAAGTAGAAAAATCTACTAATCTCCTATTACCTAGAACAAGGGTCTTTACATTTCAGGATATCAACACTAGAAGCTACAATACTGACTTTTTTAAAAATTATTTATAGTGCTTTGGAGGAGTAATCCTTTAATTGTAACTAGAATATTCAGCCTTTTTCCATTGCATTCTAACAAAAAAGTTTTCATTTCTACAATAATCATTTCAATGGAGAATAAAGATGTATCCCTTCTACTTCTAGCACAAACAAGCCTGATGAGAGCATCATGTTTTCATTGAAACAACTTTGTATTGGCCTCCAGTGGAACAAGGTTACTAAAATAGAGGAGCAATTCCTATGTTTTAGCATCTGTTCCCCTTAAAATCTATGTATAATTCAGTACAGACTATAAAACACCGTATGAAGTCTCCTTCAAATGTGTAAACATTTTTTTGTTATCAACTGAAATCTGTTCATTGACTGCCATTGGGTTTATATTGGCTCCCTCTTCTGGCTGACATGCACAAAGTGCAGTGTAGTTGAGATTTTTTTCTCTTTTCCATAAATTATGGATCTGCACCAAAGGCAATGGCATAGCACAGAAATAATTTCTCTTATAATTCACCCAGGAAAACTGGTCAGTTCAAATCTGACTACAGCAGTTTCAAAAATGCCAATCCAAAGTACTAACTAAAAGAAAAAAAAAGCCATACACCATGGAAGAAAAAAAAATTCAAACACCAATTAGAAGAAAAACAGGAATGCTGGAGGAAGCAAATAAAAAAGGATATCTTTTGGGGGTACTGTTTAAGAAGAACGGCTCATTTTATGTTCAGAATTCTGAAGTAGATTTGGAAAGCTATTTTTTGTTTTAACTGTATCATTTACTTTCTAACTGTTCTTCTATTACATTCAGAAAATAATCACCTAAAATATTTTTAAATATATTGAAAACATTTTAAATACATTGAAAACATGTCTAAATTATTTTCAGATGTTCTTTGATAAAAGTCCAAGGACATTTTTTAAAAGTTCATGAAAAATTTAAGCATGAATTATTCTAAATTTTAGCAGAGAGTTGGTCTGGGAGACGGGAATTTCTTTAGTACTTTAATATTTACACTCATACTAAGCTGCAGAAATGCATCAGTTACCTGCCCATCTTTGAATTATAGATTACTTCTCTCTTTAAAAAGTAATCAACCAACCATCACGAAAAAATATATAGGCAAAAAACCAAATTGGTCACAAATAGATCAGAAAAAATACTGTAAAGCTGCCAAACCCAGTTTGTTTTTCCAGATCTTTATTCAACATACTGATTTTAACTTTGATACAAAGAATTATGCTGAAGGCTTCCATCACAGGACAGGAGTTTTAACCTAGTCATGACTACAGAATTAGGTATTTGTAAAGGAGACTCACCTTTGTACCCCTACATCTTTTGTATCCTGCTTAAAACTTCAGCTGAAGATGAATTGACTTTTCCCCCAAAACTCCTAAACTGAGATCAAACACCAAATTCCTCTAAATTCAACTTCTTATAAGATCACTCTAGGCCTTTGTTATTCTTCTGACATCTTCTTAGGTCTGTGGTCACTTACACTGAGAAGACAGTGAATAATAAATGCAAAAAGCAAAAGAACAAATTAGAGCAGCAAACTGACAACAGCATGTAAAATTACTGTATTGGCCATAACATGAAATGTACCCAGGGCTGATAGCTAAGAGCTAACAGTTTTTCCCTTGGTTCCAAAGACTCTGATCTTTGGTACTTGCGCAAATTTCCTCTCACCAGAGACTGTAGCCTGGTTAGGAATGAAAAGTGTGAGACAAGGGTAACAGGCTCTGACAGTCACACATTTCTGCTCAGTGGGTTACAGCTTAAACTTGAGTATAAATAAATGAATATCAGAGTATTTCTCTCATGTAGTATTGCCTCTATTTAGTCTTTGTTCCGCTCAAACAGTTCCTTCTGGAATTATTTAAATGTGGATTATTCTGAACAGGCAACCAGAATACAAAACACAGAAACAGTCCCCAGTGAAATTTCAGAATTGCACATTCATTTTTTTTCCACAAGGCTCTTGTGATTAAGACTGTAAAAAGGGCTATATATTGAAATACAAACTGAAGCAAAAAAGAAGCATCAGATGATGCTCAGGTTTATAAGTTTTTATGTTGCCCAAAAACAACACTTGTACTCATCATACTCCACACCACTATTCTTTCTTCATCAGTATAGAAAGCTCCTCAATAACCTCTCAATCATTTTCTTGGGGAAAAAGAAAGGAGAGAAAAGAAACAATCTCCACTGCAATGAATTAGATTGTTGAACACTGTACATTTCTAGATAGAACACATCAGTGAAAACATTTCTGCAACTCTGTTCCCAGTTATTCAAATCCTATTATTCAATTTGTAGAGCAGAAAGAAATAGTCTATCATTAGGACCAAAATTTCCTAAGGGGTATATTCATAAACAAGTAGTTCAATGATTAGATCAATCACACCCAAGGTTGCAGAAATTTCATCCTGCAATAACGTTGATGTTGTAATTTTGTGGCAAGTAAAATATTTCCATCTGAATGACTGAACTTCTGCGCAAGTAAAAAAAAAATCATGATGAACAAAAGCAGTTAAGAAATTGTGTTTTCTTAATATAGTATTGTATACCACATACCCTGATTATATTTATAAAAAGACCTATGGGAAAAGAACAGCAAACCAACAAGGCTGGGTAAGTCTGCAGTGTTTCCATTTTGTGGTTACCCAGAATCAGCTGCAGGCTGGGTTCAGCACCACCCAGCTCCCAGCACACCTGCAGAGGCAGGTATGAGCTCACAGCAGAACAAGCAGCAGCCACACAGGGTGGCAAAGTGCAGTGCAGGCAGCACCAGCCCCTGCCATCAGAGAGAAAAGCAGTGCTCTGTGATTACCTTAGTTTTCCCTCAGGCATCCAAAGGCATCAGGCTTCTCTGCCAAGCTCCTGTCACCCGCTGGCAAGCACATTAAAAATGGTCTACATCTCAGTTTTATTAGAATAAGCTAGTTTTAGTTATAGAACTGTGAATTTGGCAGTATTGCTACAAGCATACACAAATTATACAAATCAATTACTATTTGGAAAACAAACTGGCTTATATTTACCACTGATCAATGATGCAGCAGAGTACTTAATGACACCCAGGCATTTGCAGAACATGCACGCTGTGCCAACAAAACATATAAACTTAAGAGTCTGGGACATCAACCTAGAGCTCTTTAGCTGATGCCTCTGGACTCTGATGGGTTTGGTGTGTATGCACCACACACACATAAATATTGGCTGCAACAGATGAATCCTTCAGTGCAGCTTTAGGATGAGTTGAAGAATGGAACAATTCCCTAGAAAATGACATTCATTTATAGCAGGTTGGCACTACCAAAAGAAAAAGAGGAAAGTACAGTGAAAACTGTACTTTGGAAGTAGCTGTAACAACTGGCATCCAAGGAATCCTTCAAGAATCAATTTGATGGAGTTTTTGGTAAAGTCTTTTCACCAGAAGAGAGTCGTGACAGAAACAGAATTGAGTTGTGCAGATCATTAACTGAACAAGTTGTTTCATTTCAGATTATATTTCACTATGCCAGCTTTCAATAATATTGTCCTTCCATTTTTTTCACATTTGCCTAGGGAATTTTATAGTTGTTTTCAAATTCAACACTTTCCATCTACATTCTTTGCAAATTAAAAATATTGCTATATGATAAATCACTCGATCTTTATCAACGCACAGCATATCATTGTTGCTGTAACATGCTTACATGCACAAACCTTGTTTATGTGGCTGAACTTTGCTTGCAGCAAACGCAAGACCAAACTTACCCCAAATGCCTTTCACCCCAGCTAGAGAATTCCTACCTCGTGGCAAGAGAAGAGGCGCACTCCCTCCATCTGATGGAAGACGGGGTAGTGGGTGCTATCGATGGTGTCCCGGCGGTAGACATCTCCCACGGCCAGAAAGGCGTCCAGCCCAGAGTGGATCAAGTCCCACTGGTGGGCTGATGTGTGTGCTCGTAGCATGTGGTCACGATTCAAGTAGTAGTTATCCTCTTTCCTTCTGCTGGCATGGTTTTGTGGAATAAGTAAACTATCAAAATTCTGCTGGACTGTAACCACTGGAGAAAGACCGTCGTACACAGAAAAGAGCGGAGTCCCACGGCGTCCCAGGTAATGTTTGTAGAAGTGCTCCTTCACCTGCTCCTTGATTAGCCACAAAGGGTGATGTTTTCTGTTGTGCAAGTTCCTCCCCACCTTGGAAAGAATCTTCTCTGTGACATTGGTGTAGTCATCTTGAGGATAGGACTTACCAAGCACTTCCACCGTATTTGAGCAGGGTGCACTGGCACCAAAATCTGAAGGTACAGACTTGGATGAAGAATGCCTTGAATGGGTAGGAATTCCTCTTACTTTTACTTTTGATGATAAAGCTGTTGTTTTAGAATACTTAGCTACTCTCATGAATTTCCAGAGCATTGCCATTGTAAACTTTATGATCTAGAGAAAGAAAAGGAATTAAAAATATTTGAGTTAGGAACTGCAATGTTGCTGCAGGAATTGCTATTATCTTAGGAATAGATAAATCCAAATGTCTGCTTGATTAGCATGACAAAGTTCCCATTATAAACCACTCTTTTGACCTCAGAGGATGGAAAATACCCTTGTGGTCAAATTTCAGCTTGGATATTTTAATCAGTTATCAGGCTTCTGCATGACTGCACCAGTAATAACGACTCTAGACCTAGCCTGAACCCCATTCCAGATGATGCCCTTTAAAGATGAATAAACATCAGGCCTTCTTTGAAACAATATTTTTCCTCCAATTAAAACATGTGGCAATAACTTCATATTACTTAAGAGAAACTAGGAAACTTAACAGTGCCCTTCAGCAGTCAGAACTGGCTTACAACAAGCAATTAACTTATTGCTATATCATCTCCATTAGCAGAAGCTGCAGAACGTGTTCCACATCTACCTGATGCATGTGGCATGCACTACGCAATCATCACTAATTCTTATTTAATGCCAGACAAAACCAGTTTAACCTTTCAAACTACTGAACCACTGTGAAAAAACAGATGGCCAGACAAGACATATATTTATATATAAACAGCTTATTAAATTCTCATATGAGCATTGCACAAGATTCACCATAAAAACTGCATAAAGTCAGAAGCAATGTTAGAATTCTGCAGTGATCACAATGTTTCCATATGTTCCCCAGGATGGCTGTTTGCACAGCTTCCATGGCTGTACAGGGGAGGCAGGCTTGTCAGATACCACGAAGGCAAAGTGATGAGATTCTTCAAGTTGCCTGAAGAACTCATTTCCCATCAAAGGGCCATCTTTACACATTCTCCCAGTTCACAGACAGGCCTTATGCTTCATGTGGACACAGCTGCATTCTCTGTAGAGCTCAAAGATAATTCCAAAACCAAAGAGTTTTGAGAGTGATGAACCTTTCAGTCACTCCATATGCATAAGCCCATTCTGAGATGAAAAATTACTTGAAAATCTATAGATGGGCTTCAGAAATATTAGCAAAGGTCCCAGTAAAATAATTAAGCATTAAAATTTGCTTATTATGGAATAGGAAGGCAGAGGCATTAGAAGTTAAGTGACCAGGGAAAGGCATCTGCTACAAACTGGCTTGTACTTCTCTATGAACCAAGAATTACAGGGCCACAGGTTTTCTGAGCGAAAGAATTTTCTGCAAAAGTCATCCTAAAGAATTAGGGGAAGAAAGGACATAAGCAATAATAAATGCACCACAGTCTTCAAGGGATGCAGTATTTAGGATTACAGTATCTGGCTAGCCTTCCACAGGAACATAAGGAAAACAAGTGTAAGTAACAAAATATACAAGGTGAGACTATTTTTCATACTCTCATACTTCAAAATACGTATGCAAATGAACAGACATACTAAAATAGAGAGTCCCAGATAAAAACAAATCTGTAAAAGAGAATGAGTATGGTTACATTTGGCTTTCTTTCTTCTGGCTTGTATCTAGAAGTTTTCCATAGGTCTTTTTCCTCAAGTCATTATATCTCAATCAAAATAAAGGCAAGTTGGGTAGACAGAAATTAATCCTGGTGGGGAAGCATAAGATTACTGAATATTTGGTTTAATCTTTTTTCTGGTAGTATATCTTTAGAAATAAGTAACAGCTATAAATTTTATCTAGTTTTGAAACTTTTAAGAATGACTGCCTTTGGCAGGGAGGCAGTAAAGAGTTTACAAAGCTATTTCATCAAATTAGCTCTTGATCATTACTGAGAATGTTCTTCAATAAATGAATTCACACACATATCAGAAACCACTCTGATAGAGGCTAAGCAAGGAATGGTCTTACATTTTGAAAAGAGACCCCATTTTCCTGAAACATACGTTCTCCTTCATGGAAAGTGAGTTCTCATTTTCAAACAGCTGCTTGAAATACCCAGTCCTAGTCAGATAATGAATTCAGCTTCCCTTAAGTAAATATCACCATCTGCCCATACATTTATTTTTCTAAAAACTTCAATTCAAAACTTACACATAACCGTAATTTACAAAAACTCCCATAACTTTATCGTGATTCTTGTGATGTTTGCTGCTTTCTTAAATATCATTCCTCTGAGAATCAGACAACCTCATGAGAAGCTTAACTTTCACATAAACAGTTTTGATGATTATAAATTTATGGAAAAAGAAATAAGAACATGCACCACCAGTACTGGGGAGGCACTCTTGTTTGTTTGTTTAAGACTCATTATTTTTAAGGGAGAGTCTATAATATACATCTTCAAGGGCTTACCTGATTATACTTCAGTATTTGTAATGAGGAAGGCTGCTATCAGTTTCTGACAGAAACACTCTTTTTTCTAAGCACGTGACATATACTCCTAACAAACCTGCACAGGAGAAAAACCTACAGATGAACTTTCATCAGAGTTTTTATCTTAACATTATGCCTGTGCCTTAAATAGTTGAATAGCATTATTATGTGCATTAACATTCTAATCCAAAGCAAAAATTGAGCAGTAAGTAACGTGAACAATAAGAAAAGTTATAGTTTTTAGATGAGTTATCCAATGTCCAGGTACTGCAAACAACAGCAAGCAAGCACTAAATGTGCCCCTAACATGGTATCACAACCAGAGTTCCAGAAACACTCAAGTCCTACAACAACACTCTGCTAGTTCCCTCTCCCACCACGGAGTCACGTATTCCTCTTTCAGCTAAATGGTATTGGACTTAGTTAAACTCATCTGGTGATAAGTTACATTTGGGCAGAGAAACCACATAGAAGAAAGTAAAATACGTTTACACTCTGCAGACCAGACACAAAATCTTCAAACCAAAGTAATGTTTACTAAGGCAGAGAGCAACACTGGAAAACAAAGACATCTCTTTAACTTTTTCTAGTAATAAATACCTGGTGTTAAGAACACACTAATTACTTATGTTCTCTTATAATAAACAGAAATGTATGCATTTATGCTTATTTATGTCTGTCTATGTTTATCTAAACATCTGGAAAAGTAGTTTAAATGTATCATTTTCTTCCTTTATTTCCACCATGCTTTTCATTTGGCAGGGAAGCAAAACTGCTTTCTGTGCACACTGAAAAAACCTGAATCCCACAGCAAAGCCTGCCAGCCAGCTAACAAGAGCAGCAAGCCAAACAGCAGCTGCAGGTCCTGTAGCTGAAAACAAATACATTAATGGGAAATAGACATTGAACAACCACCACTGGCATCTACCATCCAAAGATGACAAAGCCCTGCGCCAGCATCACCAGCAAATCCTGCACTCTGGGTTTGACAGTGGCTCTGGCTCACAGCTGGGAGCCAACACAGGGCTCTGGATGAAGATGCAGGGCTTTGGAAGCTGCTCTGCTGGCAGCACTCCTTGGGGTTTCTCAAAGCTCTGCAGGTGGACATGCAAGCACCAGGCCCACCACCTCCTATTTCACACATCCTCAGCCAGACAGCACCATGGACACATTTCAGGGCACCTCAGCAGCTCCCCTGAAGCTCCATGGCTCAGGTTGCTGGACCTCATCTCAATACTGAGATGTCTACTACAACTCTAGTCTTTGATAGGAACGACATCATACATTACTTGGAACTACACTTGCACCTAGCTCATGCTTTTAAGCAGCTCCAAGGCAGACCAGAGGACAGGAGGTGGCATCCACACCACCCAGGGGTGAAAAGGCATAAGAACAACCCTGTCCAGGCTGTGCATAGACCAGGCACAGATGTGACCACACCTGCCAACATCAGTCCTGTATCACAGACCCCGTGACATTTCTACAGCAGTTTCAATTGATGGGCAAGGCTCCTTCCTCCTGCACAGAAAACCAACCATTCCCCATGCAGCAGCCCAGCAGACATTACACATGCTAAAGTACACCACAGTCAGGAGCCAACAGGGAAATAGCAGACAGAATACATCAGACAAAAAATACCATGGTTTTGGAGCACATGCAAAAGGCAGTTTGATTTGATAAGGGATCATACTGTTGCACTGTTAAGGGATGTCCTTTCATGTCTAAATCCAGGTTTCCATGTCATAGTGCAGCAAGGATTAAGACAGCATTATCACAGCTGCAGTGGTATTTGTCACAATTCTCCACTACCCAGCTGAGGCTTAGGAAAGAATCGTAGACTCAGTGAAATTCCTCCTTACACCTGCTTTGAAAAAGAGGAGAAAAGAGGGGCAGCTAAGCAGCCCACAATGAAAGGAGACAGTGATGTGCACCAATGTTGTTTTATTCACTCACCTCTCCTGTAAAAGTGGAAGAGGGAGAATGCTCCTGTTTGAGCAAACTAGAGCCCAAAGGGGCCAGCTTGTGGGCCTTTTGTTCGGTGTTTGCATCTGTGAGCCAAGGGCACCCTCGCTCCTGCTGACCACGTTTCTCTCTGCCCTGTGCTTTTTACAGCTTCTGGCTGCAGAAACACAGATGGGCTACTGCATACATAAACCCAAGTACATGATGGGTTTGAAACCAAAATTCTACAAAGATGAGAGTCTGTCTCCTATCCAAGAATAGCTAATTAATGCAAGACTCTGAAGTGCCATGGAAAATGTAAGAAAAGTTGGGCTGCCACCATTTTGTGATGTGACAGCTTTTATCTACCGTATGGGTGGGGAGGGGAGTTCAACCAACATAGCATATGTTAAAACAAAAATCATAAACATATGTTAGGCTGCTAAAATTGGACATTTACCAGTCTGCTTAGCAATTTAGCTAAGCATTGAATTTTAGTTTTGAAAACTATGTGGGCATACAGCAGCAAATATCATTGTATTGCCATGACCAGATCTGCCTTTCATAGGATATAACATAAATTGTTTTGCATGCAAAACTAATAACAAGCTCAGATTTTTTAATGCTCATTTTAAAATGATGATACATTATTGCACACCAGAACAGACTTCTACTGAGCATGCTGGATTTATATAACACATACAGACTTCTGAAATAGCCTTGCAGATAAATTAGA